GCAACAATTTCTTCTTGCTCGTTGAGTTCGCCCTCGATTCGCTGTTCTTCTAAAAAATATATCGATTGTTCACCTTCTAAATTAAAATGTTTTTCACGTAAATCATTATAATGTTTAAATGCTACATAACCAGTATCAGGTTCAACATCAAATCTTTCATCATTTTCTTCTGAAAAACCTTTCACAACAAATTCAATTTCATTTTTTAATATTTCTTTTTCAGGAGTTATTGTTTGTAAATATAAAGACATTGCTTGAATACGTTATTCTTTAGTTAATTGACGCATTTGATCATATAATATTTGAGCTTCTTCTTTACTTATTATTGATTCATCAATTTTAAATGTAAAATTAGCATTTGAAATAAATTTTGGAGGTAAATCATATTCTACACATTTGGTAGCTGTAAGATAATTTTTATGTTTTTGTATTCCATTGTTTCATTTTTGATTTTAACATTAAATGGATATTCCATTGATTTGGAGTCGCTATTTGTTTAAAATCTTCTAATGCTTTATATTCTTCTGCTTGTACTTGTGCTAATCTAATTTTGTTTTCAGCCATGTTTTTTATATGTTGTGTACAATGTTGAATATATTTTAAAATAGCTTTTTCCAGACGATCGACTGCATCACGAATTTGACTAGTATTTGCTGCTGATGATGAAGTTGTCGTAATTGTAGAATTAGAATTTATTGCACCAGCTGTAGTTTGAGTCCAATAAGTACTTAATTGAACTTGTAGATTCGTGATCATAACACTTGTTTGAGCTATGTTATTTGTTCATCGATTGATCTTTTTATTGATAAATCGACTATTTGTTACACCATCACGTTTTTTTTGTACGTGTAATGATTTCTTTTGCCCAATGTTTATCTTGTGTGCCCATTTTTAAATAAGTTTGCCAAACTTGAAGCTCATAATTATTTCGAACCCATTCATCGTACATCGGAGCTGTAACTAATATATAAGCTTGATTACCACGACCACCAACAATAACTGATGAATTATCTTGCATGTAACGCATTATTCGATTGGATTCTAAATAAATTCGTCGTTTAAGTTTTTTATTATTATTTTTATCAATTATTCGATTCATTTTGTTTTGTTTCATTTGTTATTTTTCATTGTGATCAGTAATATCATATTCTGCTATTAATAGAACATCATTTATCATTTTGATCAGTTGTATTATGATATTGTTGTTGTTGATGAATTCAATGTTGTCGACGTCTATAAGATGCTGTAATAGTAGTCGTAGTAGTCCGACATTCTGATTGATTATACTTCTGTTTTAGTTGTTGTCCATTGACATTCTTATTTAAATCATCATAAACATTGAATGGTTGAGTTGTATCATTTGTTGTTATTGTTTGTGTTGCAAAATTTGGTCGTTGTGGTAGAGCATTTACTGGAATATTAGATCTTGTATTAATTGTTGTTGTATCAGAAGTTGTTAAATTAAAATCTAATGGAAGATTTGGCATATTTGCTGGTGATTTATCACGTATAGTTGTGGTGGCATGAAATCATTCAATTGTAGTTGCTTTGATCAAGTTGTATGTCGCCGTTGCCTTGACGTAGAACGACTTGGTTTTCGATTTCTAATAAATTTTGTTTGTTCTGACGGTCTAATGATAGTTCAGCGTCTATTCTTTTCAGATAGATATTGATTTCAAGGATAACCATTATTTATATTAACAGGTTTATAACGTTGTTGAAAATTTTGATTAGAAACAATGTCGTTTCAATGATCAAAATTATTATTATTATTTCGATTAGTATTATAACATCTATGAGCAAATTAGTAAGGCAAAATAATAATAATAATATTGTGAATAAATGACAGTGGTGTTACAACGAATCTATTAACTAGACCTTTCGACCTACTATGAAGTCATTATCAATAAAACGAGTAAATAACGGATTATACCGAAAAAACATAATTATTTTGTTCATATATATAGAATTATATCTGGTGGTTTAAAATGGCATTCAAATACATTAAGTTTATAATTTTCGGTATAATCCGTTATTTACTTGTTTTATTGATAATAACTTCATACTCTCTAAAAAAAATCCGTTTCCCAGAAAGCCAACGAAAAAAAAAGTTTCCGAGGGTTCGGAAACTCATTTCTGACTCTCAGGAACTGTTTCAAAGGTTTCCGAGTTTGTTACTATCGGAAACCTTTCAAAGAGTTTCTGATGGTGAAAAATCGGTTCCCGAAGGCTCGGAAACCTTTGAAAGAGTTCCCGAGGGTAAGAAATGGGTTTCCGAGCCCTCGAAAACTTTTTTTGTTGGTATTCTAAGAAACAGATTTCTTTTAGAGATTAGTAGGCCGGAACGTCTAATTACTAAATTCGTTTTAACACCACTGTTATTTCTTCACAATATTATTATTATTATAACATTTATATTGATAATTATATACAATGCCCTATAAATTTACAAATAAATATATATTAAATTTAAGATTAAGTAATTAGATTACACAGAAACAATATGAGCAATTAAGTATCAGAGCAAATGAAGTGGAATTAGTTCATCTATATTATTTACCAAAAGCTCACAAACCTGGCACTCCACTTGAGCCAACTGTTTTTGGACTCAAACATCCAACTATAAAAATATCAAAATTTCTCGACGAATTGCTCCAACCATTATTTGATAAAATAGCATCAAACACAACTGTTACTTCTCGAACCGAAGTTATCAAACAGTTACACGAATGATGAAAACGTAATATACGTCAAGAAACTTTACTATTTACAATGGATGTTATGGATCTTTATACAATGATGCCACAAACCGAAGCAATACTATCAATTAGAAAAATGTTAAACTTCTTGAAAATAAAACAAGTCAATGATTTAAAAATCGAAACAATTATTAGATTAAGCCGGTTTGTGGTACAAAGTAACTGTTTTTTTCTTATAATGATAAACATTATCATCAAGTACGTGATAGTGCTATGGGTTCTTCGTTAACATTAATAATTGAAAATTGTTATATGTTCTTTTTTGAATAAGATATTATTAAACAAATTAAGAATAGTAATGGACTCTATTTACGTTATATGAATGATATATGTATTATGATCCGCCTGCTAGGAAAGTTCTTAACTTTCACAGGTTCCGACGACCACTCTCGAGTGGTTGTAGGGGGCGTCCCTGGGCTGCTAGTAGCCACTCGTCTGGTCATGAGGCTAGCAATCTCTAGCTGGACATTAAACAATCTCTGCTAACGAAAAGAAACATTATAGGTGCATTAATGCACAAAATCATGTCTTCTTCGGCGGATGGAACGTTAGATCTTGTACAAAGCAATCAAAGAGGGAAATAATAATCAAACAATTAAAAAAATACCAAATACAAATAGCCGCACTGAGTGAAACGTGTATGTGTGATTCCGGTGTAAAATTAGTAAGCGACTACACGATGATCTATTCAGGTGCACCATACGACAGAAAAACACGAAAAGCTCATGGTGTGGCAATCTGTCTCAATCCGATTGCCACAAAGGTTTGGAAGGATTCAGGGAGCTAATGGGCACCAATAAATGAACGAATTATTAAAATTCGACTCTACTGTGCACCAATTCACATCACTGTAATTGCAGTCTATTCTCCTATTAATCCAATAACAAAACAAATGAGCGATGAAAATGATAAATTCTATAATGATTTACAAGATACATTAAATGATGTATCCACAAAAGATATGATCATCATTATGGATGATCTAAATGCGAGAGTTGGCAATGATCAACAAAAACGACATCAACACATGATAAGAAGCGGTATAGGACCATTTACAGTTGATATAGAAAATGAAAATGGGACGAGACTTATCGACTTCTGTGAGATTAACAACATCATAATCTCTAACACATTTTTCAAGCATAAACTAGTGCATCAAACATCGTGGATGCATCCAAGAAATAAAAAATGGCACATGATCGACTATATGCTTGTAAATAAGAAGTTTAGATCAAGTGTTGAAGATGTTCGAATGCTCAGAGGGGCAGCAGGTACAATAGGAACTGACCACCATCTAATGCGTGTCAAGATTAAAATACATCTGAAAAGCAGAAGAAAAAATGTCAACTCGAAGAAAATAAACGTTGATAGTGCTAAGCTAAAAGATGACAAATTACTAGAAGCGTTTCAAAAAGATCTTCATGACATATTCGATAATGCAAAAGATGACACAATCAGCATTGATCAGAGATACGAACTATTTTTGTCACAGATAAAAGAAAAGGCCAAATATCATTTTCCTGTTGACAAAAACACAAACCGAAAAAGGAAAGAATGGTTGACAAGCGACATTCTAAAAGTTATTGACCAAAAATCAATAGCTTTTGTTGAATGGCAAAACAATCGTGGCTCCAACTTAGAGTCTAAATTTCATAAAATCTATAAACGCCTACGAAAAATAGTTAAAATAATGACGGAACATCGTCAAGAAGAATACTGGGATGAAGTATGCGAAAATATAGAAAAATCTATCAAAAATAATGATCCTATGACGGCTTTTTCCATCATTAGACGCCTCAGAGGAGGAAGTAAAAGAGACGAAAACATGCCAGTGCAAGATAACAGTGGTAAACTACTGGTAAATTCAAGAGACACCTAGAAACGTTGGCGTGAATTTTTCCATGAAACTCTCAACGTAAACTCATCAATTGATCAAAATCTTATTGATCTAATTGAAACACCGACTCTGTCAATAACTGAAGAGCGGCGGCAAAATGCTCCACTATCTATAGAAGAAGTGAGGAAAGCATTAAGTCAAATGAAATCTAGGAGAGCCCCAGGTAGTGATGAAGTCACAGTTGACATTCTAAAAGCTGGTGGTGAACCAATAATACGATGGCTGTTCGAATTCTTTACTGATGTATGGGAGAATGAGCAAATGGTAAAGGAATGGAACATGACAACCCTAATCAAACTGTACAAAAATAAAGGCGATAGGAAAATTTGCGACAACTATAGAGGCATCGCACTATTGAATACAACTAGTAAAATATTTTCACGTATTATACTCAACCGTATTCATGATTTAGTAGACCGCCAACTATTAGAAATACAATCTGGTTTTCGATCAAATAGATCGACTATAGATCAGATATTCACTTTAAAAATGACAATGGAAAAAAGAAGAGCATTCAATAAGCCTTTATTTATGTGCTTCATTGATATCACGAAATCCTACGATTCGGTCAACCGTGAAGTCTTATGGAAAGTATGTCGTAGTTATGGCATTACTGATAAATTGATCAACTTATTAAAAATGCTATATAAACACTCAATAGCAAAAGTCAAAATAAATGGTGAATTGTCGGATAGTTTCGAAATGAATACAGGTGTAATGCAAGGAGACATTCCGTCACCAATCCTATTCAACATTCTATTTGATTTCATCATAAGAGAAGTCATTAATGAAGCTGCTATATCAAGAGTAAAATTCTCGTATGGTAGTAATGATTTCTTTCACGGAAAAAACGAAAACCATGATGACTTCGACATTTTGGCATTATTATATGCAGATGACCTACTTGTAATGTGTGAAAAGATCTCTGATCTAGAAAAATTCATTAGTTATTTTGAAAAAGTAACACAACAATATGGTTTGACTATGAACATAAAAAAAAACCTGTGTGATGTCACTACAACAACTAAAAGAAGATCAACATAGAAAGGTATTAAAAGGACAAGTTATTAACTATGATGACGATATAAATATAAATATTAGAAATCAAAAAATCAAAACAGCTGACTCTTTTCCATATTTAGATTGCACTATAACGAAAGATCAGCGACATGACACAGAAATATCTGTAAGATTAACAAAAGCTTCTAAAGCTTTTAATTCACTACGCTATGCCATATGGCATAGAAAATCAGTCTCTATCACAGCAAGACTTCGAATTTTTAGAGCTTGTGTAATACCAGTTTTACTATACGGTAGTGAAACATGGGCTCTTACTATAAAACAAGAACAACGAATAGCTACTTTCTATAATAAATGTTTACGGACAATCATAGGAGTAAACTTAGGTGAGAGAATGTCTAATGAAACATTGTTAGACATTACAGGTCAACCATCAATTGAAAATATCATGCGTAGAAACAGACTAAGATGGTTTGGGCACGTTAACCGCACTACTAACCCGGACGGTTCACCATCATTAATAAAAAAAGCGATGTTTTCATATTTTCATGATGAAAAGAGACCTAGTAATATAGGAAGATGCAAACAGTGGGAGGACAAAATTCTAAAAGACATAAATGAATTACAAATACAGAACTGGCGCAGGTTGACGCTTGACAGGAAAAAATGGCGTGAAACAATTAATAAGAATGTTTATGTAAAACCAGTTTCTGCAAACATTAAAGATATTGTGTATCAATATAAAAAACAATCAGCTCAGAGAAGAAAAACAGATCTAGCTGCATTGACAGGCTCAAAAAAACGTAAAGTCACAGAAATATTGGTTAAAGAGAATAAACACTATAGATGTCCTGGCTGCAAACTAAGATTTAAGCTACAGGGAATTACAAATCATGTCAAATCATGCGTGGCAGCAAAAGAGTGGTGCAAAAAAAACAGGATCAACTAAACAAATTGATGGCTTTTCAACTACTATAATTGAATTGAGATTCGTATGATGACTATTATCTAAACTGTTCATCAGAGGTTAATAGACTGATAATATCTTCTTTCAATTTTAGTGGCAATCAACGTGATGTTCGTCGAAAAATAGACAATAGACTCTTACTTTGTTGTATTTTTGTTCTTTTTTCTTTTTTTACTATTTTTGTTTGTATTATGTTTCTCACCCCACACCGGTAATGGTAAGGGTATATAAATAAATAAAATGTATTATGATCTACTGGCCTATTAAACATGTATATAAACAAATTGATCGATGGAATAAATTTGATCAAAATATAAAATTAAAAGCTGGAGTTAGTTATTCAATAAATTTCTTAGATTTATATATAGAAAATAGAAATGGTGAATTATTCACAAAAGTTTATCATAAACCATCATATGAGCCATACTATTTACCATTCAATAGTGTTCAGTCCATGCATATGAAAAAGAATATTTCATTTGAAATGTTAATTCGTGCTATTAAATATTGTTCAACATTCAAAGCATATTTATATGAACGTAAAAAATTAAGAATGACTTTATTATTAAATAAATATCTCGGCAAAGTTATAGATAAACAATTCAACCGTGTATTTAAAAAATATTATATTAATCAGCCAGTATCTACAAAAAATTATAATATATTACGAGACAAGATGATTTATATGCATATGCAAAAAAAAAAGATTCCAATTGATTATGGAAGAACAATGTTCGTTCATTTTACCTACTGTTTAAATATGAAAACATTTCCGACAAAATTTCATGCACTCTGGAATAAATATTTCATTCAATCTCCAATTAATGAAATAAAACAGGTCTTAGGTACTCATAATATTAAAAATTTACAACGACAATTAATACATAATAAATAATAGTTATTGAATTCGTTTTTTTTTTGTTCGAAATTCGAATTAAAAAATGGATAACTTATAATAAAGAATAATACTCCTTATAATATGATAAACTTTACCAAATAATATTCGTCTATTATGTTTAGAAAATACTTGTTATGAAATTTAAATTTAAGTTAAATTGTAATGAATTAGAATTAAAAATGTATAATGTATAATATCATATTATATTTGATACAATATAATAAATATGTTAGTTTTATTAAATTTACAAAAATCTTGTTATAAAATTCAAACATAAATTAATATATTCATAAAAATTGTAAAACCTATAGTGAAGAATTATAGTGGTTAAAATATAATATTTCGAATCAGACAAGATTAGTTATATCAGATTTTCAAAACAAATCCAGTTACAAGAATATTGTTACAAAATATAAGTATAATAAATAAATGTATGAAGTTAGAATTAAGATTGTAACTTATAATGAAGAATTATACTTGTGACAAGTCAAAAAGGATCAAATAGATAATGAAGAATTCTTCAAAATGAAAATGTTAATAAATTTATAAAATTTAAATTTAAATATTTAAATGCAATTAATACGAATTTATAAAAATTAAAAATTGAAATGTACCAATATACAAAAATCAGATTTTTAGATATGAATCAATTTATTAAAAATTAGAATTTAAATGTAAATGAATTTATAAAATTTAAATCGAATTGGTATAACTTATAACGAAGAATTATATTATTACAATATGATAAATTGAATCAAAGAGATATAACATGAAAATTAAAATTTTCTGATCGATGATGAACGTAATCGAACATCGTCTTGCAATTTAAATGTTTGAAATGATGAAAAACAAAAGCCTTTTCGATATTATATAATTGATTGTGGTTCTTTTTCTTAAAAATATCTTTTAAAAAAATGTTTTTAAATCTTTTCTTTGATTTTAGTAACGAAAAAAGTTCAATGTCTTTCTCCTTTTTCTTTTTCTCTTTTTTGATCTTGTATGTTCTGTTGATTTTTACGCTAGCATATATGTACTTTCTTTTTTGGTTTTTTATCTTGTGCCTAAGCATGTAGTGCAGACCCCTGATGAGTGTTTTCATATTTTAATAAAGAACATGAAACGCATTGACAAATTAAAATCTACATTTCTTAAAATTATTTTTTTGGCACAAGTCACAATAAATTATTATTTTAAAATTCATCTAAATCTCGACAAAATAATCGATTGCTGAAAAGCAAACGTGGAGTGCAAGCAGATTATATTTGTCTTTTCTTCAAGATAGATAGATCAGTCTGTTTTTCGATTCGTTTTATTTTGAAAGAAGAAAAAAATGCATAAAATATTCAAGCAAAATAAAAATATTCATGTTAACTTTGTATAATAAGCCATGCTAGCTACGCCACACATATTTCCTCGATCTTTTGCTATACGAATGTAACCATTTTCACCCCAATATTGTGACCAAGAGTTTTTTATTATCCAATAATTCATTCCATATGTACTATCGTAACCATAGCCAACAGCAACCACAGCATGATTAAGATAGAGATATTCGATAATCAAATGATCAAGAGAAGTTCTGTATCCTAATCGAATAATACAATCCGTATGCAACCGTTTACGATGAAATACAATACAATACACTGAAAAAAGAAATATGGTACCGCACGGAACCTTTTTCGACGTTTCATAAAAAAACAAGATATGTTCAAAATGAATGTCAAACCTCTATGAATATTTTTTTAAAGATTTCATGCGAAACCTTTAAAAGATTTCGATTTCGTTGCAAAATTCGAAACCTTTTTTAAGTTTGGTGCTTCCTACGGAACCCTTTTTAAGTGTCGTAGAGTGTACGAAACTATCTTTGGTTCCATATGGTACCTTATTTTTTTCAGAGTCACAGTATCATATTTCTCTGCAAAGACAGGAGCAGTAATACGACCGTATGTATGATAGAATACGACACGATCACGACATCCTTAGAGTCTTTTACGATAAGAATACAGTATCGTATACGAGTAGTAATATTGCCTGTGTTGTAATTTCATAATACGGTTTAAAAATGGCCGTTTACGGTAGCATCACTGTTATTTACGGTGATCCATAATGATCGATCTGGTTACTCACGTCTGAAAAATGAGATGAGAAAGGTGGAGAATGTGAAAAACTATTTCATTCTATCATGAATTATTTTAAATGATTTCAATTTTTAATATATTATCAATTGAATATCACGTTAACAAATATTGATAGTCATTAAGAAGAAAAAGATGCTTTTAATTAACAATTATAGTCGAGTTAGGATTGAAAAAGAAAATCTATATACCTGTTTAAACGATTATTTTCTAATTGGTAGGGTAGTGTTCTACGCTATTCGGAGGAATCTATGAAATATAGGACTAATGATGACAATGATTATGCTCTTTTGTCTTCTCGTAGCAGAACGTTCCCAATCTATCCTAACCTTGCTTTCATCACTACTTCGTAAGTGAAGATTGTAACATGTACGCATGATTTGCATATTGATTCACTCATTTCAAGAAAGAAATGAACGAAAAAAACTCTTTTAGTCTAAAGATGATAGATCATGTATTGTAGCATAGTATATGAGAGAGGAATAAAAATAAATTTTCCTAAATATCATTTTCAAATTGATCGAGATACGAGAGTTTCTCGAATTATACTAGAATCTTTAGGAATTTGTGTAAAAGAAACTTGCAAGCACAATCTTTTTGTATAAGTGTAATATATTGTTTGATAGAATTTGACAATACTCTCATATCAATGTACAAAAATATTTCTAAATATACCTGTTGTGCTAGTTCAAGTCGAAAGCATTACATGAAAACGAATTTTCAAAGTTGGAAAAAATAAGTTAAGAAAAGATAAGCAGATAAAATGCTATATCATAGTTTTTCTGCTAGTTTATAACTAAACAAATAGAGACTATAAATAGTGCATACTAAGGACATATATCGTGAAACGACGAATACATTAATATATACTACATTGTATGTGTACTTCTTTTCTAACATAGTTATTCATCAAATAATCTCGTCTGATACGTTCATAAGAAATATGTTGTGGCATTTATACAACTAATTTTCTTTTTTTCATAGTAACTCTACGTTTTCAGATGCTGATATTTTCAACAGTGGTTGGCCACAATGAGTAGATAAAACGATCAAAATTTCATTTTAAACTGCTCTATATTAAGAGACTTACTCATTAAATAAAATGAAAAGTCTCGTGTAACATTTAGTGTTACAATCGAATTGTCAAGTTTAGTTTCAGACATTTTCTTGGCAACAAACAATATAGTTTTCTCAATTTTTTTCAATGGTTTCTGTTCCTATGTTTTGTTTTTGATTTAACAGTATTCCGACCATTTCTCCATGAATGATTTAATCTTCCAGTCATGTTTTTTTTATTTTGCTGAACAGAAAATCGAACATTAACTGTACACCTGATAGTTAGAGAAAAGCCAGCAGCAAATTTTTGATGAAAGTGTCAATCAGTCTTATATTCTACAAGCATAAACTATTTAGCATAAATTTGATGACTTTGAAAATTCAAACAATAATAGAACAGACCGGTTATATATGATTTTTTTCATCATTAGATTGCAGAAGAAATCACTCTTTCTAATATTGAACAGCTAATGCTTCGATATCGATTTGAGAGATATTAATGTTTTTTCTTTGTATGGTAATCTGGTTCTATGGAATTTCGACAATAAGAATTTCGAAATTTTTTGAAATTCTACCGGCAGTTCGACAATATTGACAAATTTCCAGTATTATCGAAATTCTCATGGAATTACGATAATAACAATTATTAATGTATTTTTTATTGTCCATTTCCCATCGGAATTTTAACAATATTCACACGAGATGAAAATCTACTCAATCAGCTGGATCTCAATTAATACGATATTAAATTCTTGAACTATTGTTGCAAAATGATGTTCTTTACAAACGCGTAGTTTTTCTTTTCCGCTTTATTTTTCTTGTGTTTTGACCTACATTACATCATTGTTTGATACCCTCGATCTTGTTGCGTAACACACGAACAAGATCATCATTATTCTGTTATTCATCACATTGCATCATCGTCTAATATCCTCGAGTTTCTTTCTTAACACACGCAAAAGATCATCACCCTGCTTTTGGTCATTTGTTATTTGTTTTCTTTATTTTACTTGGATCTAGTCAGAATGAATATCTATCGTTTAGTATGTTCGTTCTCGAAGTATACATATATATATATATATATATAGAGAGAGAGAGAGAAAATACTCACCGTCCGTTCGCTTGTCTGCTTGTATATATAAGTTTCTCGTATCACCCATCTTTTCTCATATCCACTTTTTGAAGAAACACTCTTTTCTAGATTCTTCACTTATCAAGTCATTTGAACTTGTTTAATTCATTGGTAATCATAAAATGGTAGCGATTATTCGTGCTGCGACAGCACGTCAACAGCAATCATTTAATGCAGATACTATAGTTGTACCTGGTACTGTAAGCAAAAAGAATGG